TTAGAAAAAAAAGCTATCTCTCTTACACTTTATTAGATATCCATATGGCGGATATGATACGTTTTGACAATCAAAAGTATTGATTTCGTTTGAACAATCAAATCGCTGCTGCACGATATATGTATCTCGAAGAAGGCCAAGATATGATCTTGATCCGGTGCACCAATTGCAAGAAAAGTCTCTTAATCCCATTTTATTGAATACTCGATATTCGCAACTAAAGTCTGAATCGAATTACAATGTATGTATTCTGCGAGGCAATCAATGCTCAAGTGACGCTTCAAAATTCTTGTAGACAGAGGCAATTAAAATCCCATCTGTATGTTGCGAGCAACCAGCTAGGAGGGTTGTTGAAGATACCAGAGTATCGGCCTCTTCGATCAAGGCTGCCCACGTAACGAACAGCGATAAAAATAAAGGACGTTTGTTCACATGCCTAAAAAGAGAAGTAAAAAGATCATTCCGCTTATATAATCCCCATGCAAATGAAAAGTTTTTGAAGTGTACAATTTGTCACACCTGAAAGCACTAGTATTGGTATATTATTATTTTTCTTCTCTGTATCTTTATTATACGTTATTTTTACTATCATGTTCGTGACGTAAGTGCATTCGTGTCTGTTAATTAGATTCGTGCGCGGAGAAAATTTTATGTATCAAAAATTACTTCAGCGGTAGCCGGAATCGTAAGAGGAATTATATAAATTTCAATACTGTAGCCGTTATATGAAAAACGTAGTGAAAATTTTTGTAATTCCTTCATGGTCCGCGGCCACTGCCGCGCATAGTAATTTTTGATATAAAATTTTTCTCCGCGTAGGATGAAAAGGACGAAATCATACACGTCATATAAAACAGCTGGAATTTTAATTGAATTGATAAAAAAATTCCGCATGCCATACGATAACGCATAGATGCTTAGAAAAGGGTTGAACCGACGAAGATGCCACGATCGACCTTCAACCCAAGGTTGTCACCGGAGACGATCGGGTACGCTAGTCGCGTATACGCGCCCGCGGATCCGTGGCGCTTGTATGTGTAGCAGGCTGTTTACACGAAAGTTAATCTCGACTGCGCGAGGTTACTGGATGCTAAAGGAGCGGAGAACGCCGGCGAAGGAGGGCCGCACGTGTACGATGATAATAATAAACGTTACCTGCTCCCTTTGCTTCGTTTCTCTCTCTCTCTCTCTCCTCCCTTCCTCTTTCGCTTTCCACCGCTCTCGCGCTGTGCGTGCGCTGCCGGCGGTTTCTTTGATCTGTCGCTTCGTTTGTGCATTTAAACACGACTCGCCGGGACGTGGAGAGTGAAGCAGTGAGAGGCGACGAATGGAAAGAGACGGAGAGAAGAACGTACACCGATTAGGGGGAAACGGGGCAGGAAGGGGATGTAGACATCACGGGAAGAAAGGGGTGAGGACGGAGTAGAGAGAGAGACGATTCCACAATGAGAAGAGAAAAGCGGCTCGAGTGACCTGGCAAAATCTCGTCTGGACCTCCGAGAGGTGAAGTGAGACTTCCGTCATTGCAAACGAGCTTTCCTCCTCGCGACTGCGACCTTCAACCTCCTCCTCCTCCCTTCGTACGGTTTCTCTTTGCCTCTCTTTTTCTTTCTCTTGTTTTGGCTATCCTCTCTTGAGCCTCGCGACTTTTTGTCGTAGCTTTGTCTACCGACAACTGTTGGCATCCTCAAATCCGCTTCCTCGATGATACCTCCTCGAGATTAATGCTCCTCAAATGGAATCAATGCTGTAGTAGTGCATTTTCGACGCAAGCCCTCTAAATTGCTCGCCTTGTTCGCCGGCGAGCACGCGTCGGTGCCGAGGTAGGACAGAAGGGAGAGAGAAAATAACAATCAAATGGTTCTCTGCCTCTTCCCAGATTCGTCAAGTGCCGGGATCCGACGTTGTAAATCGCTCGTGGAAATTTTCACCACTAATTTCGCGCAACGATTCGAGGCAGGCGGTGCGCGGTATTGGAAGCTCGATCAATGATCAGGCTAACGGGAGTTGGAAACGAACTGTCATGTGGACACGTGACAACCTCAGAGTTCATTCCCACGAACTGGCGACACTGAAAGCGCATCTCGTGGGGATGACGTTCGATTGGGTACTGCGAAACGCGCAGCAACCAATCGATTTTGAACGATCCTTCCGTTAACATTTACACATTTGACAGATCAATCAATTTGCTAGATACGAACACGTCTTGTGCATTAGATTTATAAGCTGTAAAAGAGCGCATATATCTCTGTGCATCGCTAGCGGCAAAGGGATAATTGTTTGCAATATATTCGTTTGATATACGCGCGCTGACGATAACAGCGATATAGATATATATATATATAAACACTGTGCACTCTCTAACGCGATAGAAATTATTGTTACAGTCTGGAGGATTCATTTTCAAAGCGTAATCGCGCTTACGTGCGATCGTTCGTTGATAAAGTCTTTCGTTGCGCCACGCTGAGTCTGCAATCTGCAGTGCATCACGTTGTCATCGGGAGGGAAAAAGACGATGGTAAAGAAAGTGCCGACGGACAGAAGTCGTCGGAGGTAGAAAGACGAGGCACTAAGGATATTAATAATACTATCTCGGAAACTCGAGAGAGTGCAATCGTTTCCGTTTAACGGATAACCAGACCCTTCCGCGCCGTTTGCAAAATGATGGGATATCTCGCAGATTCTAAATGTGCTTCTGTAAATCAAATAAAATTTGCCGGTTTTATTAAAGAAATTTTTTACAGCATTCTTAGGGATAGATGTGTGATAGATTGTTTAATGAAAAAAAATATCTATTAAAGTGAGATAATTTCTGAAGACGTAATAATTTTATATTTTCAAATAAACGTAAAAAATGGAAGAAAGATTTGTGATTTGATTCACAATTAGGATTTTATTTTACGAAACGAAGCTAATTGAGATTAAAAGCTACCACCGCCGTTCCGTCAACGCTCCAGTTGTCGTGCGGTAACAAATTGATCGTGCACTTTGGAGAAGTGGAAATCGTCGTCATTACGTTCGTGAAAACATGTCTATCCGAGCTAAATTATCGCGAGCCCGCATGCTCCAGCCGATCCGGTGCAACGCACATGCAATTTGCGAGGACCGTTTGGATGTAATTTTTCGCGTGTTAATGACGCACGTTTTTCTTTCAACTATTGGCGTATTTTTTAACGAGGGACCGCAGGCGCGCGTAATTACGTTTCATTTTATCCGCCGAGGGTGCCAGCGCGGCGGATCGATTTCACGGTGGTGGACTAATGAATCAAATTAATGAACGAAGCCTTATCGTCCACACGGTCTTCGGCAACTGTTGCCTTGTGAGTTACGACGCGCCCTTCTCGCCTTCGCCAGTTGGGTAACTAGCGTTACTACTCCCCGCCGCATAGTTGAACGGATCGAGGCTTGACTTTGGTTTCCTTCATTAAGCGGGATTCCCGAGTGTAGATTTACCAGTAAATATTCACCTACGTGCAGTCGGAGTGGCGCTCGTCGAAATTACCGTGATTCATCGCCCTCAACATTGCTTCGTTCCGTCAATTTTTCCGTGATTTTCAGTATTCTTACTGCGCGATAAATAAAAAAAAAAAAATTTAAGAACTCAGTTTTACAAATAAATAATGTATCAATGTAAAAAGATGTGGCGAGTATCATCGGATTAAATGCTCTTTCCGAATCGATACGAGTTCGTCGCGCTCTCGAACAATGAAATCTCAGACAATTCCTCCCGCAAAATCCAAATAAGTTAGAAAAAAAACGCGCTTCCGATGCGAAGGACGGTCGGCTGAGAGCCTTCGGCTCTTCCTTCGGTTTCTGTCTGTCCTTCAAGACTAATACATAGAGATGCGTCCGCGTCGCACGATCGCAGCTTTGATGAGCGAGCGAGCTCTCTCAACGTGTTCGTCGCGACGAACAGCCGCGAAGAGTCGAAGAGTAGAGGCGGAATGGAACACGTCCTCTCGCTTAGTCGATGTTTTATTTGACTTGATTAAATTCGTCGAGAGAAGCGAAGCCGCGCGCGCGTTCTTCTTTCTTGCATTCGTTTTCAGACGACCGACGGCGGGTTTGATCCGGGACGAAAGCAAAAACGGGAAAGAGTGGCGACGGAAGGAATCGACCTGACATTCTCAGGAATCGAGGATCCTCCCCCCCCCCTCCCCCTTTACCGCTCTCCTTTCGCCCTCTTTCCCTCTTCTCGCCGACTTCTATCTCCACGGAGAGAATTGCTTTCCCTCCCATTGTCCTGCGCGCGAACGCTCTTTTCCCATTCTAGAATTCCAGCCGGTCCCGCGATATCCGCGCGGTTATACCGTCGTTGCTCCGATGTTGACGTGCCCTTCCTCCGCGTGCCCTTTCCCGCGTCCTCAACGAGAGGGACGGCGGGAGGACAACATTGAACGTCGCGAAGAAATTGAAGGTAGAAGTCGTTTATTTCGTGCGCCTCTCTCCTCCCGTGACCGTCCATTCCGGGCGTCGTCACGTTCCGATTTTCTTTACCGAGCTGCGAAACGCAGTGGAATCTCGCCGAGGGGACGGAATGCCGGTGGGAAAAAAGTCGCTCGGTACACGTAATTACCCGCACTTGGTACGCCACTCGCGACATTGCGTATAAAATCTCGAATTATTAGCGCTATAAATTTGCCACGTCTAATATCCACACGATATTGATAGTTTACAGTTTTCTTTCGCGTTATTGCGCACACATGCTGCCCGCATGCGATTGCGTAGAGAATTTATATTGGCTTATATCGTATAATAACTTACATATATTTTAACTATTAATAATAATCCAGCAATTGTCGGATAATCAATGGAAATAAATGTTATTCCTGTAATATCTTTTTTTTATAACGCTAAGGTAAACATTCAGCGCTGCAGTACCTGCTTCTACTAACACTTCATTTAAACACCCGCTTACCTTTCTCCACCACACGTAATACAATACACCGCAAACATTTGCCTGATCGATTGCTAATCAGGAGGCATCATTTCTGTTTCAGGGATCGGCGAGGCGAGCGTGCGGCTGCATGAACCAAAATTATCCGACGCGATCCGCGTGGGCAACGAAATCGAGCTTGAATGTCACGTCGACGGGACTGGCGAAAAGACATACGAGTGGTTCAAGTTAGTTGCTCTCCGTTTGTTCTAACTTCGTCTATTTACCTGCGCGTCTCGCACGATAATGGGGAGCGGTTAATACCGGAAAAGCCGCCGGGATGCGAAGGACGGCGCGACGTAGGGATGGGGTAGGCCGGAGCGAGGGAGCGCGCCAACAATAAGTTCGTAGCGTAACTGACACCCGACATTTGCGGAACTGGCCTGGTGAATTATGAAGTGACACTCCCTCGTCCCGGCGTGTGCCGTCAAGAATTTCATCTCCGACGTCACCTTGAATCATCTCTTCTCGTCGTCGAATAGTCGTGACGTCCAGCCTCTCGCGAAACACATCGTTTATTCGATGGGGTTTAATGATGTCGGAGATGTTACGCGTTGAGATTTGCTATTTTTTTCAGTCGGAGATTATCGTGCGAGATTGTTTATCAATTTTATCGATTGATCGTAAATAGTAGATTTGGAAAAATAAGAAAATCTAGAAATGCATGCGTGTAGGATTGTGAATTAAACACCGCAATATTAAAATCATGCAAAGGAATAGCTTGTCAGAGAAGTCGTCGCGAAGAATAAATTCACAGCATTTCTGTCTAAATATAGAAATAACAGCGCTGTAACCGAGCAGGGTTTGACTTGACGTAAGATAATTTGCACATCTCGTTGAATTGGTTCGAGTCACAGCGAAGATTGTTTGTTTATTTTACAGAAATACGGAAAACGTGCCACTGGGCGAGCATATCGAGATAAAGAAAAACAAACTGAACGTATTGCACATACATCAAGCGGTTGCCGAGGATAGTGGCATGTATACCTGCCTGGCCAAGAACGAGGCGGGATCCGCAGTGACCGAGAGCTATCCGTTAATCGTTTCCGGAAACGAAACTGCAGTGCTTAAGACCATTCCGAGAAACCTGATTGCCAAGCGTGGCGAACCAGCTGCCCTGCATTGCAAATTCGAGGACGCCGATGAAATGCTTTGGTTCTTGAAGGATGTCGGTCAATTGACGTCCGACGATGAACGGACGATTTTTCAAAATGGTTCTCTCTTGATACACGCCGTCGAACAAAGGGACCAGGGATTTTACTCCTGTCATGGAATAAGAGACGAGAGTAAAGTCAGTTATACGGTGGAATTACAAATTGCCTGTAAGTGCCGAAATTTTTTAAACCGTACATTCAAAGAATTCGATATAACAAATATATATTAAAATTATACAGTCTTAAATTTTGACATTAATTGAATTATATACATGATTTTTGAACGGCAATTAATTAACATAATTTCTCATTACGTTTCTCGAAAGCACAAATTATAGAATTCTAAATATAAATGCAACTTTTTAGATTTATTAAACTTTTCAACGGACGCCTTCGAACCGAGACTTCCCACTCAGTTGGCGATTGTCGGCGAGGATCAAGAATTCCAGATAAGCTGTCTGGCGCCCTTGGGGGTTCCGCCGCCTAAAGTTTATTGGAGAGATCCCATGGGACATATAATAAGTGACACCGGCCCAATTCGCGTTCAAGATGAGACGCTCATCATTGCGAAAGCACGAATGGGCGAGGACGAGGGCAATTACACCTGCACGGCCGAGAATCTCGCCGGTGAAACGGATACATCCGTCCAAATAATTATATCCAGTAGGTTCTACGAATAGATAATTAGGCATATTTTTTTTTTTAAAGAATGCAGCTTTTAATGACACATCGATTTAATCTGACTAAAATTCTCATCGCGAAACGAATCAAAAGATTTGATAATATCCATTTCCATTAATTTTCAGCGCCACCGAATATCATAAGTTCCCCGGTGTCGCTCAATGCGTTGGAAGGTGACTCCGTGACGTTAAGTTGTTCGTATTCCGGCTTGGAACCATCGGTGACGCCGCACGTGCACTGGTTAAAGGACGGGTCTCAATTGAAGGAGTTGAGCGGTCTGGCGAGATACCGCGTAATCGATAATCACGGCAATGTTACCTTGCACTTCAAGAGCGTCGATCTGTCTGACAAAGGACACTACATGTGCCAGGTATTCACCGCGGGATTCCCGTCCGTGTTTTCGGACCCCGCTATGCTCGTCGTCGAGGAAAGGCTGAAATTCTCGCCGCAGCCCGTCAATAAACGCCTGGAGCTCGGCACGACGGCGAAGGTGTCGTGCAAAGCCCAGGGTGCCACAAATCCCACGGTGAAATGGGTGAAGGAAGGCCTGAACGAGGACGAGGAATTCCCTAAGCACGTTCAGGATATCAACGGCACTCTGCACTTTAACGGCGTGCTGGAAGAGGACAAGGGTCAATACACTTGCATCGCGAGCAACGCTCAGGGATCCATTAATCATACGATTAGCATCGATGTAGGTCGTAAGTATCGAGATTCACCGCGTCTTAATCAAATAATCAATTAACTTGCTCGGATATGTTCCGCAGTCGCGCCCAAGTTCACGATACAGCCGCAAAATCCGACGGAGGCGATCGAGGGCTATCCTGTGATGTTACACTGTGCCGCCGAGGGTGATCCCACGCCGACCATTCGATGGGACAAGGATTCTACTATGAACAATTTTGATAATACTCGATTCAGTATATTAGTTAACGGAAGTTTGTACATTAAAGAGGTATATCTTAGTGACGAGGGGAAGTATGGTTGTACCGCTGGTAATAGAATTGGTGGATTGAAGCGAGAAGAGGTTCAATTAATTGTAAAAGGTGTTTATATTATTATCATTATTAAAAGTTATTGAACTCTACTCTAACATGATTGAAATCGGTCTTATGACAATGAGATAATAATGATTTATATTTTAGCTGGAGATGGTTATAGAACCGATATGGACTTAGAAGCCAATGATGACGGTTCAATGATGACTAAGACTGTGACGATTACTCTGAGCGCTGCCGCGGCGTACATGGTGCTCGTCGTTGGCCTCATGTTGTACTGTCGCTACCGACGTCGTCGTAGGAAGCAGCAATATTTACAGGAACAAACAGAAAGTATGATTGTTAATATTCGTTTATGCAATAATTGTATGATACGATACACATATTTAACTTGACACGTATATTTTTGAATTCCAGATAAAATGGAGAACGGCGACGTACAAGAGGAACAAACAGAATTGAAGGAAACCGGCAATAAAATGAATTCAACAAGCAAGAAAAAGGAGAATCGCGATTCTCACAATAAGAGCGACGGCGCGGACACAGCCCAGAGCCAGAGTAGTAATCAATCTAAGAAATCCAAGTCAAATTATGACAAGCTCGCTGTTTCGCGAAACAACCTGAAAGAACTGAAACCTCTCGGTCGAGGCGAATTCGGCGAGATCTATTCTACGAAGTTTCAGACCGATGGCGACAAGGAATCCACTGTCATGGTCAAGAGTCTTACGAGCACGAAGGACGAGGCTGCTCTCCTGGAATTTAAGCGTCATTTGGATCTCCTTCACAAACTTGATCACGAGAATGTCGTCAAGTTGATCGGTATTTGTCGAGAGGAGGAACCTGACTACATGATCCTAGAATACACCGACTGGGGCGACCTGAAGCAATTCTTGATTGCTTCGCGAAAAGACAACAATCCCAGTCCGACGCATGAATCGAAACCGCCGCGCGCGCCTCAGCTATCGGTGGCGCAGATACTATCGCTGTCGAATCAGGCTGCGAAGGGTCTGAAACATTTGGCCGACAACCGACTGGTTCACAAGGACATAGCCGCGCGTAACTGCCTGATCGCCAGCAACCTGACGATCAAGATCTCTCTGCCGTGCATGACCAAAGAGCCGTATCAGCAAGAATACACAAAACATCGGAACCAAGTAATCCCACTAAGATGGCTGCCCTACGAGGCTGTATATGAAGACGAGTATTCCACCAAGAGCGATGTATACTCGTTCTCGTGTCTAGTCTGGGAGATGTTCCATCAAGGTGAATTGCCATTCAACAAGATAAATGACGAGTCCATACTGGCTCAGCTTAAGGCGCAAGCACTCACGTGGAAGCCGCACAAGGCGGCGCCGCCGGCTCTTCAAGAGCTGCAAACTCAGTGTTGGGCGAATGATCCGCGCGAGAGACCAACGTTCGACGAGGTGGTTTCGAAAATCGGCGAAATTGTGGTCGACAGCTGCTTGTAGGCTAGAATCGTGGCGGAATTGTGCGAGGCTCTAAACATCAGAAAATACTGCAATAAGGGTAATGATTGTGCGGAGCTGCATGTCGAGAGGTAAGGCTGACAAGCGCCGATGATCGCGCGGCGATGATCTCTTCCGAAACGAGGAAGAGGGTTCTCAAGAATGCCGCGGCTTCGCGCGCGCGTGAGAATAATTAACCGGCTTTTATATTAACGCTTTGTATCAATTATATATATGCATAATGGATCATAGAGAACACCACCTCTCTTTTGTAAATGAAAAGTGCTTGCTCATTAATCATTGAATGCGCGGGGATTATATGTTTTAATGACGTTGCTAAGCAGGTATGCCTGAATCGTATCGCTAAGCGTGATGTATAGACTACGTGGGAATTTTCAATTCACGCGTGTCGTCGTATGTATCGTTCAATACGTTTATACATGATCGAATGAACAACACTTCCACTGTACGAAGAATTTCGATATATTTTGTATATGAAGCTCGGGCTTCACAGATTCATTTACTATCATTTTGAATATTTTTTTTAATTTTTTATCTCGTGAGAACAAATCTCGTCGTTTTCCAAAATGTAAACGTAATCGAATATTTTACGCGATCAACGGTATCTCTGTCTATATTGCTTCCGTAATTTTATAGGCAGGACATAGTGAGATTGTTAGTTCCACAATAATTATTCGTATTACAGTATTTTATCGCGTCCACTAGCTTGATAAGGAAATAGTATTTATTTCGAACAGCATCTCCGTTCCAATGACTGGTTTATCGTTGGATTAAGCAACAATCTGCATGGGCCCATTACACGTTATTACGCAATTAATGCAATACTTAGTAGACAGTATATAATAATAGGTATGATCACCACACATCGAATATTCGTAAGATACATTAATTGTTAGATGAGCCGAAAACTGATGACGGGAATGATTAATCGTATCGGACGAAATTTAGCGGACGATATCGATTGAACGTCGGTGATCAGACTCGGTGCTGACATGCATATTAAGAAAGTATCACGACCATATCACTATATCGAATAACGAAGGAAATCTTATCTCCGCCTATTTACTTCTACATCGCGCTACATCGCTAAGACATAAAATTGAAGAATTATTTATAATATATATTTATGTGTAATAAGAACGCAAATCGACCATTTGTATTCGACGGAAATAACGGCCTTGTACATACCGATGGTATATACGTGTAAGTTCTTTTTAAGTACGAAAAACTAGCATGAATCGTCGTGTTAATCTTTGTTCAAACAATTCGATTTTTTTTCCCGATGATCTTTTAATGCTCGAAGGAATTTTTCGTCGTATTAATATCAGAGATAAAGGGTTTTGCAGCGCGTACGTTTAAATGCTGATGCGCAAGGAAACGATAATAAGATACAGCATATACAACACGAAAGCCTATTTTTACATATGGAAATTAGAATCAATCAGATCGGACGAGGAGAGAAGTATCGCTCGCGATATTTTTGCATCCGGGATTTACGCTTTGATATATAGCGCGAACAATCTAATGCAATGGTCCAATAACAAGAATATTCCGAATACATATTCGACTCCATATTACACGATTTGTACAACGAAAATTGACGTTCGTATCTTAACAGTACATAAGCTATAATATTGTCCCTACTTCCACATTTAATTCTACTGTAAGGAATACTCATAAAACTATTATAGCGCGCATTTGCTTCCTTCGTTTTATACAAGACTTTGATGAAGATATTGATGATCTCAAAAGAGATAGTTCGAAGGGGGTACAAAAGACAACATCTTTTTTAGTCATGCAAGATAGCAATGCTCACAATAGTAACAAATGATAAGAAATAATTGTGATTTTATAACTTGTCCCGCTTCGGACATATATGTGTTACATGTACTTGGCTCTAATAACTTATTAAAGATTAACGCGCACAGAGCCATGCAAAAAGAACGTAACTGCATTCGGTTTCGTCGATCGCGTATGTATATATATATATGAGGTATACTTTATAATTTATAGTTTTTGAAACCAAAAAAAAAAGAGAGATTGGAATGCCTTGCTAGTTCATTATCGCTGATTGTCGATCTTTATCGTGGTTTTAAAATATAGAGCAATGTCTTTATTGATAAATAATATATTGATAAACCATGAATTGAAATCAGTTTGTTCAATTCTAATAAGTTATTTTGAAATATTTATCATTGTGTGCTATGTCGTCTAGAAATTAAAAAAAAAATTTTTTTTAGAAAGAAATGTTTTATTCAAAGAGCAACTAAGCGAATCGTCGGCTCTGTGCATGCTGATATAAGTATAATGTATCATATACGCGCATATAAATGAACGAAGCATTGAAGTCACTCTGCAAATGGCCACGAATCTACATAATGTTAAAAGATCATAATCATGATAAATATGATCGTTCTCTAATCTAAAGCACGTTATACCGAGCGTAGCGTACAAATCACGAAAACATTTCGCCTGTGAAATAGGCCCGTGTCTCCGTGAGCGCTTTAATTAAGAATATGTAAGAGCACAAAATGAATAATCTTTCAAGATAATGGATTATCAGAGCTCGTAATGTCTCGGCGAGCGAATCTTGTAATGCTTCCTAAATGTTCGCTATATTATATGTCAAGAAATACTCTTGTGATCAGTGATGGCGAGCATGCTTAGAGATTACTGCGAAATTTTTTTTACCTATTTTTCATATTTTATTTCACGAAGTCTCGACAGACTTAAAGATGGTTAAAATTATTCGAATGGAAAATTAATTTAAAGTATTTCTACAATTCAAATATAATTCGATATTTTTATCGAACAGAAATTTTTGTGGAAAGTGAAACATCTGAAAAAGAATCGAGCTATATGTGGAATGTGCGATAAGGCATGTCTGAATGCAAGACGGTATCCTAAGCAAATATTCATACTTACGACCCATCATTGCTTGTAACATAAATTACACTAGGATCTTGCAGCTATCCAGCCCGCACTCTACGAATACATAAAATTAAAGCCAATTATTCAAGTCCCCATGTGCTCATATAATTCGCTCAGATATTTATCGTAAACGACCACCACTGCCATAAAGATAGCGACAAGGCAAGGAAGGTAGCAATGAATTATACACGAAAAGCTACCTATTATGTCTAATATGTAATATGTCTAGTCATACATGGTGACAGAGTGAACAGCGTACGAAAAGCTCATTTGAATAACGTTCATATCCTTAGGCGTTCCAAATCGATTTTTTTTACAATATTTTGTAAATATTTGTACTTTTTTATCTATATCTCTCATACTTATGAATTTTTGGAATAGTATGTGCTACGATTAAATAAAGAAAAAAAACAAGTATATATTGTGTTATAATAATCCTGATTCCGAATCTTATTCCATATTAAATAATTTAAGCTGTTGAACGAAGACCTGATAGCGTCCTCTTTTTTAATTTCTATTTCTTTTAACTTTAATTTTTAGTTTTGTTTTATTTAACTCCACCTATTTTTACAACAGTATAATTTACTATGAAAATTTTGACAATTTTATTATTTGTGAGAAGTTTCTTGGAGTCCCTTTTAAGTATATATTTGAAATATAAATATGAATATTATAATTTTAATGCATGTTATGTAATCGTTAAATTGCACAAAATAACGATGCTAAAAAAAAGAAAATACAACAACAATATTAATATTAATAAAAAAACAAATATATTAACAGAATGAAGAAAATTTTTTACATATAGAATTTGAAGCATTTATATATGTCAGAAAATGTCGGCGATAAAAAGGTAAAAAAGTGGAAGGGGGATTGCGAACGCTAAAAAAAAGAAGTGGCGTATTACCTAATCAAATTTATTTTTACTTAATATTTCATGGTACAGTCTATACCTATTATGATATATAAAATAACGTAGTCGTAGAATGCAAACAGGTTCAACGAAAGCAGAAATTTTTAGCGCCCAGAGAAAGAAGGGTGTGAATCGAACGGTTGGAAATGAAACGTGTAAATCATCGTTGCAAAAACGCAGTAACGTGAGAGGTATGTGTTTAGTCATGTCTTTATATATTTATATGTAAAGTCTCTAAAAAAGGATGAATCACTTAATTCTTTAGTACTTAATTCATTAATACAGTAGCAGCCTCGCTCTCTAGTAGTACTAAATATAATAATGGTATAATGTGCGGTAATTATCGTTAATATAGATTATTAACATTACAAATAATATAATCGTCGGAATCGTATAATAAACAATGATACAAGGTATTTTTGTCGTTTTAGTTTTTTAAATTGTTATTATATAGTAATAATCACAATAGCGTATTCTGAAAAATAGATTAGGGTCCCGTGGGCAGAGGGCGGAGTGCCTCGTTACCGGACAATTTCTCTCCTCTCTCACGCATTTCCGCATTACTATCTCTCTTTCTCTAACGTATCCTCTTTCGGTATCTATCACGCTTGAAAATTCTCCACGGGGGCCCGAAACCTAATTTGGACGAGAACCTCAAGGACGATCGTAGATCTCGACGGGAGTTACAAAGTCGTACGAGCGATCCTTCTCGTCTGCATCTCGTTCTAATTACGCCGTAAGGACTCAAAACAACCACGAAGAATCGCACTAGGAATCCAGCAGCATTAGACTACGAGGATGTTTTTTTACACGATAACCGTCGTCGTTCTTGCACGACAGTCTCTCGCACGTGTGACAAGGGTATACAAAAACTGCTACTTCATCGCTAGAAGCATATTCGTATGGCTTAGAATTACGCGTGTCCTCGAGACGATCGAGCGATGTGCTCCCGATGAGAAATTCGACGAACGTTCGCGTTCGACATCGCTTACGATAAAATCCACGTCTCGTCGTTGACGATTCACAATAATTTCCCGTGACATTGACTTTCGATACCAAGTATCGTCGTCGCGTCTTTCATGCATATTCGCATCTAGTTGCACTTTTCCGATGTATTTTAAGACTAGAGTTGTTTGCTTCTTATCGCCTACCCCTTCCTTCTTTCTTTCCACTTGACTTTTCCTTTTTACTTTTTTTTTTTCTTTTAATCGCGTCTCTGCCACTCTGCCTAGGGAACCCACTATAACAGGGCACTATGAACAGCAGTCTGCTGGCTAAGTGACTTTCCGAATCTACAATCGTTCCTCCGCATTCTCTCGCTCTCGTTCTCTCTCACTCGATCAAGTCCCCTCGCTCGCCCTGTCGCACTCCCGCCTAATTTACTCTCACAATCTCGCCGCATTCTCTCTGGCAGTCTCACACTCCATCGCGTTTCTCACAGATTCCATTCGCACCGTGCGTTTCTTTGCAAGCCTACCGATTCCTCACTAATAAATGCCATCTGTGAACATGTATTCGTTTCGCATAAACAAACTTATACACTGGGAAAAAAAAAAACCGTAAATGCCGTATCTCGAAGTATAAAAATATAGCGTGTAGAAACGTTAAGTAGTCGTAACTGTCTATGGTCAGACAGAAAAGAATATTATCGAATGCAAGAAGAGAGCACAAAATGCACAGAACATCGAGTCTGAATCTGTATCCATGTCAATCAGGATTAAGGAACGTAAAATTGCGCGAACAGAAAGCTTTACCTTCGCTTTTTCTCTTCTAGCTTATCCCACACAAGCCGATTAAACACACGCTCCCAAAATTCACCCTCACGCGCGACACACCTTCCTATCCTTCCGTCACAGAAAAATCGACAAAAGCTCCCCTTCGCCAGCATGCTTCTCCTATGTCAGCATTCACACTACGTGTCAGCCAATAGTAAACCACTACTGTACCTTTTTCGCGTTTATGATATTTTATACTTTACTTTTTTAATTATTTTTTTGTTCGTTAATATTAGACGTGCCGTGTCTCTACCATCAGCCTACTGCCAAACTACCTATCTCCTCCCTTCCGTCTCGCTCTTCCAATTTCCCTCTGCAACTCTCTCTCTCTTTCTCTCTCTCTCTCTCTTTCTCTCTCTCTCTCTCTCTGCTCGCGTCGCGCTTCCTCCCCTTGTCGGGTACCTCCCACTCGTCTCTCTTCTTTCAATAGTTTATAAATAGTATTGTATTAATATCATCATCCTTCGTGTGTGTCGTTACAATATAATTATCGGCAATAATATACCTTCATTATTAATGCAATATCGTTATTATTAATATCGCTCTCCCTCGCTCTCTTTTTCTCGCTTCTTAATCCATCGGGTAAATTTCGTTCACGCGCCAGCCTCGAGAAAAATGCTACCGTGAATCGCGCGAGCGTACGAACGAATGAACAAACGAACGAACGAACGAATCGTCCCGCTGTCCTCTGTGCTACACTGAATGAGTGTTTGCGATCGATTGATGGTGGTTGCTTCGACTTTCGGCGTGTCGCGCCGATACGAAATGATTTATAAATACATACGGCGGAGACGCACACATACACACACACACACACACAACCGTGCCCGATTAAGTCGAAGTTCGACTTTCCCAAATTGCGACTCTGGCTTGCGGTGCGCGGTTGTTCGATGAACCCAGCGAGCTGTCGTTCGTTTATCTGTCGATGTCGGAGTATATCATTAAAAAAAAAATTTAAAAAAAGGAAAGAAATCTCTTGTTTTTTTTTTTTCGTATGAATACGATCTTTCTTCCGCATCTGATCAATTTGCTGAACGATCACCGGCTACGATCACCGATACGCTCACGGCGTTGACGAACCATTCTGATATCGTCGTTTTTCAACTTTCTAATCTAATTAGTGTTAGTAGTATCAGATGACGAATGCAACCGCGTTACGCGATTTTCACGCAAAGTACTGCAAAATGTGGTATGATCCGAACATGAATAAAACACGACGGTTCATCGACGTCGCGGCCGATTAGATCAATTGACGAATACATGTTTGCTTATGTGTGCGTGTGTCTGCGCGTATATGTGTAGAGCGATAATTGCAGTGATTTAATTAGAGACCCTTAAACGCTAGAAATCGGTATCGTGGCCTGCCGACTTTAAACGCTATTTTAATGTACAGTCTGCGTCTCTCGTCGCCTTTCTCACATCGTCCAGCGCAATTCGCGCGAGGAAAACGCCGATCCTCACGAATATCGTGCCGCGCCAGACGCTACCTCGCAAATTATCGAGTCTCGCGAACAACGCGACATGAACGCGCCTATAACGAGTAAATACAAGAGTAATAACATACGATCGGATAACGAGTAGCGTGCGGTGAACGCAGTCGTGACGTTTGCGAGACTCAAGACAGGATGTATCAATTCGCCGGACATTCAGCAGGATCGAAAAATATATGTCATATCCAAATGATAGGACACGCCGCGAATGGCGATACATGCGAGACAATGAAAAACTCGCGGTACTATAAAATTCGTGCCCGCTGAATCTGCGGCAGATGAAACGCATCTAGGTGAACCGCGAAGATATACACACAAGGACATGACGGCGATTATCCCAACTGATCCAAGTGGGTCGATATACGCACTCATACACACACACTCAGGCATACATGCACACATACTTCGCGTTTGCGGCACGTCTTCCCACTTGGTGCGCTCTTGAAGAATCTTTTTCGCGCTTTATCTTCCGTTCGCCGGCGCCGACAAAAATGATGATGACGATGGCGATGAGTATAAACGTGTGCCAGAGTCACATTTGGGCGCTTTTCCGCGTACGGTTACTTTAAGGATACACATGGCCGACTAAATATACAGACCGGCGTTTTAAAGTAGCGCATGCTGCCGGGCGGCCGCCTCCGTCGGGACGCACACATTTCGCCGAGCTTCTAGTTAGTTACAGTAAAAAATAGCGTAAACGGCACTGTATTAGGAAGAAGCAAAATACATGTTACATTCTCGTTATTTTATCGTTGATAAATGCTATAGTGTTTTTTTTTTCTTTAAAAATCTGGTATCGCAATGTTGTTATTACATTATTATGATTATTCTTAAATATTAATTACCATATTGTTATCATTATTATTAATATTAATATTATTATTATTAGTGCTCGCTCATTTTACAACGCCGTGCGGGGACCTGCGGCGTCCAGCAACCCCCGTCGAAAAAAACATCACCGACACTGTTCTTTTTTTCTCGCTCATCAAACTGTGAACGCACGCCGAGAAATGGGAACAGCGAAATTCGTTTCGCCACCCCTTTTTTTTTTCATCGATTCTTCATTCTTCCTCACTTAATTACAAAGCGCGAAACGAGAGTCTCGTTCCTTCGTAGTCGTTCATCGCGTTTTTAATGATTAACAATCGCGAGATTCTGGCCGTCGTGGCAATGGAGTTTTCGTTGAAACGCGAATTTCGAAAAATACAATGTCCTCTCTTTTTTTTTCTCTCGTCTCTTACATATACACATATCTATATATATTTATATATATATATATATACTCTTCGCTTAGTGTGCCACACTTTAA